TTTTGAGTATGTCAGCTATCTCCCCTGTGGTATAACGTTAATGATTTTCAATTAATGTCTCAATTTGATTGCTGTCAACTTCAACTGATCGACCAGACCATGGAGCATCGTCCAGCAAGAAAATCTCCAGCACAAAACTTCGCAAACCACTTTTGACACATCCTATCTGTCACAACACCTATCCAGTGCTCAAAATTCCTTGTTGAATGAATTAATGAATAAATATCATGAATGTAAACTTGGAGTAACAAACTCCAAACATCTTCTACTTTATCAGGTAGCATAAGTTTTTCCTTGCAGTAATTCCCTAACTTGCCCCTTCATCTGAAAAGCTGTGACGGTCCTCTCCTCACCTTTTGAATGGAAGCTCACTTAGAGTCATGCTCCCTGCTCATTTCCAGTGAGCCCCTCTCAGTATCAGTCTACCTGCCGCGCGTGCCGCCATTCGCCACCTTTCCTCTCCAGGTTGACTTGACAGTGGATCTTAACACGGTTTCCTGCTAAGACTGGACTGTTCAGAATTCTCTTCTGAGCTGACAATCCTTTTCAGAAAGGCATCGTAATGGAGTTGGCATTCAAGGTGCAGTAATTTGCCATCCTGAGCATAGTACTTAACGAGCTTACTTTTGGGTCCATAAACCATGATGGCAGATTCTGGCCCTGCCATTTACTGCCTTTGTTAGTTTGTCTTTCTCAGACTGTGTTAGCTCTGTAAAAATGTCATGGTGATATTTATCACAGAGAGCCAGGGTTGAATGAGATAAGGTATGCAAAGCTCTTAGGATAGAGCAGGGTGCTTTAGTGCTCAATGAATAGCAGTTATTACCCAAATGGACTCTCATTTTCCATGCTATTGCCCCAGTCTCCTGATTGGAAGTGTAGTTACAGGCCTACTGCTTTATTTCTTCAACATACTGATTGTCTCAGGGGTGAGGGGGCATGAAGAATAAAGAATGCCCTCTTTGGAGAAAGGGAGAAGGGAAGGACCGGATTCTACGTGGGCATGGCACCATGTTTCGTCATCAATTTGCAAAGCTATGGTGCGTACTAAATAGTCAATAAAATCCCAAGATTTTTACGCTCTTTGAAATAAAATTTTAAAATTTAAGTTTAACGATATTAAGTACATGTAAAATTAAATCATGTAATGAGTCACTTCAATTTTTGACAAGCTGCTTAGTTCAAAGCCCTTAGATACTTCCTGTAATCAAAACCCATTTTCAAATTCACAGGAAGATATTATCTAATGATCCACTCAGTCTTTTCATGTTCTTCATTTGGGGTCAGTTTCAATGGCCTGTCTCACATCAGCTGTCATTTTTGTGATCGAAATGTCACTTCACATTACAGTTTTCATTGGGACAGTTCTCATCTTTGGTTTCAATATAATTTAATTCAAATCAGATTCATATGTCTCAGGACAAATAAATGTGCTTAAAATCCCCTCTGTTCAGATAAGAATGTAAGGACTACTCCCACTGATGCCTCTAAACTTCCTGGTACTTTCTGAACCCCTAGTGCTGCCTGGGAGGCCACTGGATCTGATAACAAGGTCATTTGTTTCTGCCCACTGAAATGGGCCCGGGGCCCGCACTGGAACCAGCTGGGCCAGCCTTATGGCCACCAGTGGTGACCACCACTGCTAGTGACTGTCTCGATGCCACAGTCTCCACCACCTCATCCCCATACCTCCTCCCCCAACCAAATTCCTACTGGGTCAATAGAGAAAAATATTTTCTTGCACCCCATTTAACAGAAATCTTGACTGAGAAACAGCGTATTAGGTGATAAGAGCTTGGAAATGTGTTGTAATTTGCTTATTTGGTTTTGTTTGGTTGGCTGTTTTTCCATTCTTCCCACAAGACAGACGAAAGAGGTTGAGCCCCAGCACAGTTCCCCCGGCCATACTTGAAATTCCCCTTCTCCTGGAACAGTTGAACGACTTTGCTCACACCTGGCTTGTACACCTGAATTTTCCTAGGAGAACTTTATTTTCAAGAACCTTCTCTCACAAGACCCCTGGTAGAGATGGCCCCTGTGTTCCACCAGACAAGCTGAAATTCTTTAATCTCACATAATCTCATCATCTCTTGGCTGGCAGATCACTGTCTAGCGTAGGAAAACAAAGGATAGTGGGACCAGGCAGTATCAGGGCCCTAAACACTTACTCAGCTGAAGAAAGGGGAGACCAGTAGTGTACACCACAGTATTCCCAGGAACTGAGCTTGACTCCTGTTAACTGCACACAAGGAAACTTCGTGCGTGAGCAAAGCCCAGCTCTGGAGATCAGATTGGAGCTTCACTGTGACTGGGCCATTGGCAGCTTGGCCCCTGTTGGTGTATCACTGGGTGCGGGGACTGGTAAAAGACTAGCCGAGGTCATAGCCCAGCCCTCCAAGCAGGCTTCAGGTAAGGCCATAACAAGTCAGAAAAAGAGGTGGTATCTTAAGGTTTAGGTGTTTTGGGAGAGCTCTACTCAAAGCAGTCTGTAGGGACTGCTCAAATGGAGAGGCGGAAACAAGGTCAGAACAGAGAAGAATGGGGTTGTACATAGAACTGAGGGGCAAGTGAAATATACATGTAGGTCACTGGCCAGGGAAGTCCAGAGAAATGGAAAAGAAGGTAGGAACCCCTAAGTGGGGTATGGCACCTGCTGCACACTGCTAGATTGGCCTGAGCTTTCTTAAAGTTATCTCATCTGCCTAGAAAACCAAGGCAGAAGCTCAGATGTATAGACTGGACTTACAAAGTGAGTTTAGGAATCGTGTAATTGTCAAAGCTTAGACTTTGAAGTTAGAGGCCTCGGGTTCAAATTCCAGCTCTGACAGTAACAGAATGGCTTTGGAAAAATTAATCTTTCTACCGTCTCTGTATCCTCCAGTGAAGAAACTTATAGGATTCTTGTAAGGTAGGTGACAAGTTTATATCCTAGTGCCTGGCACACAATAGGTATTCGAGAGCTGAAGGACTGTGGCACGTGGCCTAGCTGTCTAACAGGAGGACGACTAATTCCAGATCGTGTTCATTGGTGGGGCTGAGCCTGTTGACAGTCTGCCTTCCCTGGTAAGGAAGGGCTGGGACTGGCACACTGTGCGCACAAGTATGGGTCTGCCAGCTGAGAGAAGGGGCTCTGGGAAGCAAGGCCTGTTGCGGGTGGTAGGTTGGGAAGTAGGGCTGTTCAGAGGGTACTCCAGAGCATCCGCTGGTCTGAGAAAGTTATATTTGACTCACCATATAAGGCAAATATCCATTCACATTTTCCTCCTAGACTCAGAAAGGCACATACCCTTTCCCAGGGGTATGGGTGTGCCCACCCCCGGACACTCTCCTCAAAGCCAAGGCTCATAGTCAGACACGGCTTTCTCTCTACAGAGCACACTCTGGCTTGCCTTACTTTCTCTAATAGCCTCGCATGTGAACATTTGCTCTTTGAAATTCCATTTATATATTCCAGTTTGAGAATGTCTGTGGCTCTCCCATAGTTTATCTATCATATGTTTCGTGTTACTGCTGTGTCCATGGACGTGACTCTGGTTTTCGTTCTCCCTGTGATTGCAGCGTTAACAACTCCCTGACTCTGTACTGGAAAATGTCCTGAGGGTGAGGGCTGAGGGTGAAACAATAAATTGTGCTGCTCTAAGTCTGGGCTCCACTGACTTAACGCAGATTGGAAACAAAGAAGGGAGGTTGCGCCCTCCCTTCTCTTCCCCCTCTCTCTTCCCCAGCTTCACTTCAGTGATTCCACCCTCACAACAAATTTTGACAGTACTTCCCCTGTGCCACGTGCCCTTCCCTGTCTCTGTGCCTTCGCACAGGCTCTTCCTCTGCCCAGAATGGTCTTCCCTCTTTTCCTCCTGATGGACTCCCCTGCAATCTAAATGCTCCAGCTCCAGACGTATCTTTCTTTTTGGTTGTTTTTTTTTGTTGTTGTTTTGTTTTTCATGGTTTAGATTCCTCCACATATAAATGAAACCATGTGGTGTTTGCCTTTCTGTCTGACTTACTTCACTTAGAAAAATACCCTCTAGGGCTGTCTATGTTGTCGCAAATGGCAAGCTTTTATTCTCTTTTACAGCTGAGTAGTATTTCATTGTATATTGCACCACATCTTCTTTATCCATCCATCTATTGGACAGCTAAGTTGCCTCAATATTTTGGCTATTGTAAATAACACCGCAATGAATATAGAAGTGCATATATGTATCTTTTTTAATTAGTGTTTTTATTTTATTTGGATAAATACCCAGAAGTAGAATTGCTGGGTCATATGGAAGTTCTATTTTTAGTTTTTTGAGGAAGGTGCGTACTGTTTTCCACAGCGGCTGCACCAATTTGCAGTCCCACCGACAGTGCACAAGGGTTGCCCTTCCTCACATCCTGACCAACACATCATTTGTTGACTTTTTATTAATAGCTATTCTGACTATTGTGAGATGGTATCTCACTGTGGTTTTGATTTGCCTTCTTTGCAGACTCATAGAAACAGAAGTCAAACTGATGGTTGCCAGAGAGGAGAGTGGGGGATGGAGGAGGGCGTGTAGAAAAGGTGAAGGACAATATAGTCAATAGTATTGTGGTAAGTTTTTATGGTGACAGTTATTGCTAGACTTAGTGCAGTGGTCACATTGCAAAGTATAAAAATGTCTAATCACTGTATTGTACACCCCAAATTAATGTAATATTGTATACCAACTATACTTAAATTAATAAAAGCTTAGAAAGACTTATCTTTCAGTATTCTCTCTGTAGACTTCCTCAATCCCCTGGAAGTTTGCCTCTCCCTCCTCTTTGCTCTTACGCATTTTAGTGCACACCTCTGTTATTCAGCGTCTCGTGTTGTAATTTCTCCCTCTGTCAGCCCCTTGAAATCAGAGTGTGTGTCTTACTCATGGAACTGTATCCCAAGCAAGCATCCAGCACAGCGCCTGGCACTTGTTTGGTACACATTAAAAATATATGGATGAAAATCAAAGCATTCTTTTTGTTTCTTCCTCCTACAGAAACGATGACTGTGGGTAAGAGGACTGCTTTGCCAAGGCACAGCAGGACAACCACCTTACAAAGATCTTAAGTAACGCTCCCTATCCAACAACATCCGGACGGCTCCAGTGACCAAATGCTCAGCTGTGACCACAGCAATGACTGGCCTTCTTTCCAGACTGGGTTAGATGAACATGAATGGTCCCACTGTCTGCAGATGGTGTGCTGCAGGGGAAGCACATCTCTCATGGCCAAGCATCAAGATCAGACTATGGAAGAAACCAACTGATACAGCGAGAAGACTGAGAGTACCCTGAACGCCAGGACTCGTAGTGATGGGGTGACAGCATCTACCCTGGCAGTGCCACACGGCAATGATGTTATTTGCTTGAATGCCCTGGAAGGACAGAATATTTTAAAATACATCCAGGTGCTAAATAGGCAGCAGATTTAATTCACCTTTGAGCTAACAACTGTCTCCAGAAAATAATTTCACCCAGAGAGTGCTCCAGCTTTGCAAGGAACAGCCCCAGGAGTGTAACAGGATAAGCAGGCTGTTCCCCTGGGGAACATCTCATGCAAGGAGGGCAAATTCATAGCAAATTCACTGCCCCATCCCATGCACATGGCAGCAAGTATCGGTGGATCATGGCTCTCTCTTCTGCTAAACCCAGATTCCACGGAGTCAGAATCCCCAACACTGTTTTATAGATAGCCAGCAGCCACTTCCTTCCACCCTGTGTTGGCATTAGAACAAAAGTTCCTTGTCATTCCTGTTAAAGAGGCATCCATCTCAGTGGCATAAGCATTCTGGAATACCCTTCCCCAGACACATTGGTCCACTGAGGGCACAGCCTCAGAGACAGATGTACCATTGTGCGAGCTGAGTTCCTGGAGAGATAAGCAGTGGTTCCCTGACTGAAGGCACAACTTTTGGGCTTTCGTGGCCTGAGTGCCTCCTGGGGTGTGTCCATATGCAGCAGCCCAGAGGCATAGCCTTGGGTAGCCACAGACAGGTTTTCTTTTCACTTCCAGACACATATATCACTTTCATAGCACTTGGGGAATAGAAGTACCTACAAGAGTGAAGGTCAAGGGCTCTCCCCAGGTACCTCATTCACTACTACACTTCCTTTGCGCCCATATCAGCCAACCCACTGCCAGCTGCATTCCTCATCCTCATTGCTTCTGCCACCATATAAATGAAACCAAAGGCCTCAGCACGCCCAGGGAGGGAAGGTCCTCTCCCTCCCATGAGAGGTGCAGGGTACTCCATCCACACGTTTTCACCACTTCTCCAAGAAAACATTTCCCTTTTCATACAAGCCCTTTGCAGCAGAGTCCATAGTTGGATTGTAGTTTATTTACCTTTCTGGCAAGCTCATTATCTTCCTTTGAATTAGCATTTCAGTGTGGGACTAACTGGGTGGAAACAGGATCATCACAAGTCTTCAGAAAGTTCGAGTTGCCACAGCTGCCTGGTATTAGAAACTACCCTTGCCCTGGCCAGTGTGGCTTAGTTGGTTGGAGCATCGTCTCCTAAACCGAAGGCTCGTGGGCTCAATTCCCAGTCAGGGTATATGCCTAGGTTGCAGGTTTGTCCCTGGTTGGGGCACATATAAGATGTTTCATTCTCGCATCAGCGTTTCTCTCCCTCTTTCCCTCCCTCCCTTCCCCCCTCTCTGAAAAATTCATCTTCTCCTCGGGTGAGGATTTAAAAAAAGAAAGAAAGAAACTACCCTGATGTCAGATCTAGAAAGGACGGAGGCCTTTGGTTGTGTGTCGCTATGACTATACTCCGGTTCCATGTGTTCCCCAGCCTGCCTAATTCATTTCCATCTCTAATCGACTTTCAACCTCCAGGATCCAAAGGGGATCCAAGTTTCTGCCTGTGCCTGATGACATGAGAAGAAGGCAGCTTTCTTTGCCAACTCTCTCTGCCTCTTCCCATTCAGACATCCTTCACCGTGTCAGTGTTTAGGACCAAAGCATGGGAGACTAGTGCCAGCAGGATAGTCAGCAGAAGTAGTTTCTCCAGAGCCAGGCAGATAAGCCCAGAAGAATGGTCCCAGATAAACCAGACTGGCCCAGATAGGTATCAGACAGCCGTCCCAATAAACATTGACATGTCCTTGGCACTAGGAGCCTGGGTAGGAGATCCTGCATCAGCTCTGCCTATTGCTCCCGTTCATGATCCTCCTGCCCAGAGAGCTAGCAGCCCTGGGGTACTAATGAGCATGCTTCTGGTTTGTTGGTATGAAACAGAAGGTGGCTTTGTAGGGGCCAGCAGGCAAAGAGGCCTGCCCCCATGGCAGGCAGGTGGCTTTGGGTCTGGAAAGCTTTGCCTAGCCAACCCAGCTGGGGCCAGAGGCCAGTTATAAATCTGAACTCCCTTAGCCCATCTGTAAGTCTGCCTTTGTTCTCTTGCATTCTGTTTGTTTCCCTTTAGTTTCCTAGTAAATGTTCCTTTTGAAAAATTCCAACTTTGTGTCATTGAACTTGTTGGGGGGGGGGGGGGGGGGGGACTATGTCTTTTCCAGGATGGAGAAGGGAATTTATTAAAGTACCTTAGAAAAATGAAAATGGCAGTGGAAAGGGAAACACTCTGGTTAGATCTTAGGAAGAGGCCTTGGGGAAAGCTGGTTCCAAGATGGGAAATTCCCCACCCACCTGGCACTGATTCTTAGCCCCTTGCTCTTGCTGTCTTTGTCTTCAAGGAGTTCTGTCCCGAATGGCGTTGCTGCAAGAGCATCTTCCCAGCCAGTGAACTGGGCACATTCAGCAGGTGGCGTGATGTCCAGGAAGCACACTGGCGTGTGACCAGAGGAGGAATAGGGGAGGGGAGGAAAAGCAGTGGCTTCTGTAATGTACATGTTTTCAAAAGGTTCCAATGATCATGATCATGATCAATGATCATGACTCTGAATGGAATGATTTAGTCCTTGTGGCCATGATTAGAACTACTTTTCATAGGGAGAGAAGAAAGTCATATTCTCATACTTAAACCAAGAAGACTGACAAAATATCGATTTAGAAAATGTCTTGCTGCCTTCATGGCCGTCCTGTCCTGCAGTGGTGTTGCAATTGCCTATTGCAACATAACAAAGCACCACAAATCTTTGTGATTTACATAGAAGGTTATTATCTTTCATGATTAGATGGGTGATGGTTGTCTCTGGCAGTCTCATGGTTGCTTTCAGATGGCAGCTGAGTCTGCTGTCCTCTGAATGCCTGACTGAGTGGGAGATCTGTGAGGGGTTTGTTGCTCATATGTCCGGCCTCTCTGGGATGACTGGAACAGGTGGAGGCTGGTTAGGCACATCTCGGTCATCAGTCCACATAGTCGGCTTGTGCTTCCCCGTGACATGGAGATCTCAGAGTAGACTTCTGACAGAGTGACTGGCTTCCCCCAAAGCTAACATTGCAAGAGGTCTCAGAAGATGCTGCAAGGTTCTTCTAATAATCTCTGAAGTAACAGTCATTCCCACCATGCGTTATTGGTCAAGAGCAAATCATAAGGCCAACCTAGACTCAAAGGGAAGGGGTTGCACAAGAATGGAATTCAGGAAAGTGTGGCTTATCAGGGCCACTTCGGAGATCGTGAGGATGGGAGCTGGAGGTGAAGGTGTGACTGAATTGGAGGGCTTACTGGATTTCTGTCACTTTAAAGGCAGTGAAATACTTAACATGCACGAGGGTGGAATGAGAGGCAAGTAATAAGGGGCGGATGGTGGGGAAGAGATATCCAAGGGCTCTTAATAGAGCAAAGCTACAGAAAGGCAACTGGTTATGATGGTTATAGAGCTTACGAAGTCACAAGAAACCCTGGAGGAAAACCACGATTATTGTCATTCTACAGGCTGCTCCAATGCTTGAGTTGGATGCCTTTCCCCACCTCATCTCTGAGCCAAAGTAAATGTTCAAACAAGACATTCCCGTTTGAACATTTGGAAACACAGAGATTAAAATGCTAAGTGGAGATTGTTCCTTTTCTGAAGACTTCAGAAAGAATTATTGCAGCTAATTAAGAGAGAGGAATTTAATCAAGTCTAGTTTGGATGAACATCATTCTGCCAGTTCACCCCTCACATGAGGTCCCTACGTTGCTAAGGTTGCCATGGCGCCTCCTCTAGTCTGCCCCTCCCTCTCTTGCAGGAGCCCTGCTGTGCAGAATAGTCCACTGACCTTCCCCCTATCCTGGCCTCCATTAACACAGCCACCTTGCTAGGGCTTCCAAAGCAAAGTGAAAGAAAGTGATTTAATGAACTGAGAAAAGGACATAAAACAGGGATGTGCAAAAGACAAAAAGACAAAAAAATAAAAATAAATTTAAAAAACAAACAAACATGGATGTGCAAATGGCCACAGACAATGTCTGCACCCTGTATGTGGACCCTGGGAATGCCGCAGGCCGTTCAGCTGCCCACGGCCACCCATTTCACTGATGGCCACTGAGGACAGAGGGCAGTGTCCAGCCTGGAAGTGCCCTGGAATTACCACCCACACTCCAGCCAAAGAGAATGGCTTCACCTGTGGCTGCACTATCATTCTCTTCCAGATCCCTGCAGAGTCTCTCTCACACATAGGATTCCAGATCTGGTTGCGGACAGGAAGCACAGCCAGGGGCTATGAGTGGCCAGTGAGATATCTCTGAGGTTTTCTCGCTGATGGAGGCTCCTGGCTCCTTCCCCCTCCAACCCTCTCTCTGGACCAAAGAGGTGATACCCCTCAATAACCTTTAACAGCCACCTGCAATTACTTCCCTAACCACAGACCCAGTGATGCCAGCCATAGAGGCTCAGCCTGGGACCTTATCTTCCAAGCCAGGGATAAGTCACAGGCAGTGCTCAGAGTGTCAGTGTGTCCCCGAGATGCCCTTTCTGGAGAAGAAGCCCAGATGAAGGGCACCCTCTGTTATAATACATGCTATTCCATCTTAATCCAACTTTGTATGAAGTAGGCTGACCTTGTGGAAGAAGCAAAGTAGTAAAGCTAAGGAAAAAAAAATGATCAGAGGGAAAAATTGCCCCACCAATTGAGGAACCATCCCAGGGAAGACCTGTAGAGTAACTCCAAGGAAAGCAGGGAGAGGGTTGGCTGGTATTCCAGGGGCTGTAGAAGGTGAGGCCTGGTCCTCGTCACATCTCCAAGCCCAGGTGGAAGACGACAGAAGCCCTGAGCAGTGCCCTGGACCCATCTCTGGTGGCCATGATGTCAGGTGTGAAGCTCTCCTTGCTCAGTCTCCTGAGAAATCAGATCCAGGCTCTCCAAGGGCCATGGCAGTATCCACTTCTTCCTTACTCAAAAGGCTTACTTGTCACTTGCTGCCTGAGCATATGGGCTGCAAGATTAAGCCACCAGTATAATCACCTCTGTCCTCACACTCCCTGGTGTCTTTCCACCATGCCCAGGAGCTCTGGGCTTGGGAAGGACCAAGAATCAAGTTGGAAGATGGCTCCCAAGGCCTCAGAGGATCAGGGGCCAGCTGTGCAGTCCAGTCACCTTAGTTAAGTCTTAATGGCATCAGGGTCCCCCAGTTCAGCCACAGGCCAGCTGGTGATTCTCATGTACCTTTTCCTGGTTCGTAGGAGGAGACCAGGCCAAAGGCACCTGAGCCACAGAGGCTGTTCCCTTAAGTCATTGCTACTGCCTCCCAAAGTCCATCGTAAGTTAGAGTTCTCCGTGAAGGCTGAGTGAACATTGCCAGACAGTTAGAAAAGTATATTTATCAATATAAAAGTAATTGATAATTAATGACACTGCATTTTTTACTTTACTGTGCATGGTATCATTTTTATCTATTTTTAAAATTATTTTGAAAATTCAACTTGTGATTCCAAACAGTAAAGTTAGTTTTTAAAAAAGTAAATAGCTTCTTGGCTCAATACTACATTTATTATAGTTATTATTTCCATAATTATTCTTTCAATTAAAGCTATTTCCAGCCCTGGTCAGGTAGCCCAGTTGGTTAGCATGTCAACCCATGCACCAAGTTTGTGAGTTCAATCCCTAGTCAGGGTACATACAAGAAGCAACCAATGAATGCATGCATGAGTGGAACAACAAATTTATGTCTCTCCCTCTCTCTCTCTCACTAAAATCAATATTTTTTTAAAAAAACTGTTTCCAAATCAATATTTGACACAGTAATATTCACAGTTTTTCCTACCAAATGAACATCAACTCAAGATACTGAATTTTTGACAATATAGATAAAATTCTTTTTGCATGGTGAAGTATCCAGATGTGAATTCATCAAATAAAAACAATTTCTCTAATTCACCAAACTCAAAGCTTTCAGATAATAATAAAACCATTTCTTCAAATACCTGAAGATACTGTATTCAGGGCTTTTGGAATGAGCTTATGGACTCTATACACTGATAAATAAACCTTCTAGAAACAAGTTTTACCATCTTCTCAAAAAAGTAATGATTTTTAAAAACTATATTTTTCCCTCAAGGAATTTTGGAAGTAAATTAAAATTTGAAATCTAAGATAAAGTTTTCAAAAGTGCACAAGCAAGTGCAAGCTAGGTGAGAACTTAATATAAAAGCCTTGCCATAAACTGCACATTTCTTAAAGAAAACAAATTGCACTACCCCTGCCTGCGTGTCCACAAGCTCAGGCTGGAACTTTGCTGAGGACTCACGGGGCTGCTGAATCCGGCAAGTCTCATGAACTTTCTTTGCCAACCAACAAATCTGCATTTGACCCATCATGCCGCATTATGGTCAGTATTTTTAAATTGTGTTTTCTGGCTGGGAAGTGAACACATAAAAGTTTTATTGAGAATAAGACCCAGGCAGCCCTTGGCCAAGCCCCCTAAAGAGAAACAGGGTGTCTGGGCTACCACATAAACTGCAAGTAGAGCAACTCTGTGCTGTTCTCCAAATTGGAACACCTGAGGTTGAAAGTACTTCAACCGAAGTAAATTATTTTTCTAAAAGTATGTATTGGTTTTACTTTGTTCTCTCTGCAAAGTCTGTCACACTATCTTGGACAGCACTGATAAGTTTTGAAAGGATTGTATTTGTTGGAGGGTAAGTAGCAAGAAGACGTTTAAACTTTGCCTCCCAGGGTTTTCCACACCTGAAGTCTACAGGAAGCTGCCTGCCTGACCTGCCACGGTGGACCCCGCCGTGACTAGAGCTGTTAATACCTGCTGTCCACTTAGCAGCTTCCAAAACCTTCTGGCGCTTCTGGGTCAAGATAATGCCATTTGGGCAGCAATTCCACTTGATTTTGGTTCTCCCTACCCTAAAAGGTGGTTGTCATACCGCCCCCCCCCCTGCAAAAAAAAGAAAGAAAGAAATCAAAGCAAAGGAAAATGAATCCACATCACCAAATAGAATACAAAAATAAGGACAACCTCTGCGCATGCCTGCTTCAGGGGCGGAG